AATAATATCATTACCAGATATTTGAAAATAGCGGATAAAAGGTAAGCAATTCTGTAAGGTATTCTTTAATGTCTGAAAGTTCTCTTGAGTCAAGCCATCAGGGTCTGATGATAAGCCAGGATTTTGAGCAATACCCCATTTAATAACATAATTCCAAATTTTCCCTTCATCAATTGGTAAATCATCACGTTTTATAAGAGAGACCAACATATTTTCTGGAAGTGAAGTAAAGTCTTCAGATTCAAAGATTTTAGATGGATATTTTACCAAAATATCATTGCACCATTCTTGTAATTTTTGAAATTGGTTTCGAAAACTTTTTTGATACATATCATTAAAATGTAAACAAAGCCAATGAGCTTTCTCTTCAATTAGATGTGTTTCAAGAAGTTTAGCCAATTCTTCAAGAAGAAATTCATGAGCAATGAACATGAGATCAAATATAAATGATGCGTCATGGTTTTCTAGAGTAACTAGTCCCCCATAAATATACCTTCATTAAATTAATAAAATTAATATGTAATTATATATAGATATTTTTTTTTAAAATAACGTAAATAAATATCAAATAAAGAAATAAAGAAATAGCTTACTTGATAATAACTTCAAACTGTTGAATTGAGATATGATTTAGATTAATTATTTTAATGTTATTTTCATCTTTATTAGCGTTCGTCAATTTATCACGAAAATATAAAGATCTATGTCTTAAAATAAGTGAATGTGTCTGGAATTCCTTAGAGTTTGTTGATTCACCAACTTTAATAATTACATTAAAATCATCTTTATCGTTAAGAACATCAAGGTAATCATTTGAAAGTTTTTCGAATAATATTTTTGCCATTTTTTTTTTTTACAAGTGTTGTTAAACCTTAGAGTTCCGTTGTGGACACTTGATAGAAATTAATATTATATATAATCGATATTGTTATTGTTATACGAATTTCCGGAATAGGAGAGAGTTCATGGAGCACGTTGATATCAGATATAGCAAAGTAGTACGGAAATGCAAATTAGGATGAACGTGCGAGAATTGATAGTAAGTTTGTATGGTCTGTAAAAAAAAAAAAACTTCAAAACCAATGTCATTTTTTTCAAAAACCTGTTCTTACCTTAACAAGAAACAAGAAAATATGTGCACTTGCCCTAATCCTAACCATGACACATTAAATAAGGTTTGCTTATATGTATTTTTATAAGCTTATCGCTTATGTTTACCGTAACATTAAAATTAAAGTATTATTTTGGTGTGCCTTTCCGAATCTGTATTACCGTACGGCAGTGTTGGCTATTTTAGGACACATCCAACTTTATATGACACCTGGTAGTCATAGTGTATTAGTAAATCTTATAAGCCATAACAAGTCATAAGGTCATAACCCAATAGGTCATAACAGGTCATAGGCCAACCGTATAGTGTTGCTTTATTGAATATCACAAAAAAATTTGTACGAAAAAAATCACGAGAATGCATCCAATCAAGTTTATAGATGGAAAATTGATACGCACGTACAATATGTACATACGTATAAAATTTTAGCCTCAACCATTTTAGCTATGTTATATTTATCAGAAATGATTGAATTAATTATTTACATAACTAATTGGGCTTATGCGCTTTAGTAAAAAAAGAACTTAGTTAACGCATATTTGCGTGCGTAATTCTACGTATACTGATATTGTACGTACTTAATTGGACATTTAGTGTAATAATGATAGTAAAGTACCGCAGTGATGTCCGGTTATTACCGGTCGAAAATGACTCGTGACACAATGACTAATTTATAGTAATAAAAAACGGTTTACGTATAACATTTTTCCACCGATTTAAAAATAGGTGATGATTTATGTCCAGAATACTAAATCCAGATTTCCAGAACATAATCATCACCTGATTTTTAATTGCGTAATAATGTATATAAAATATTTGTCATCCATATTTCTGTTATATCAGATATGTCATAGTGCATATACGTATAATCAGTTTTTCTACGTATGCGTGAAGCTGAATGATGTTTTTCGTACTGTACGTACCTGCGTGCGTGCGTGCGTACGCATGTTTAGTACAGTTAGTATCGAGAATAATGAACTCCTACAGTATTATATCATGATCGATATGCGTGCCTTAAGTAAGGTTCTGAGAATAATAGGTTGCATTTGTCATAGAAACTTTGTAAAAGTTTGTACTTTTCATTAATAATTCATTTTCGCATTTTATATTTACCCAAAAACTTTTTAAATTTCGTTATGTAAACGTAAATGCGAAAGTGAATTAATAAAAAGTTATTAAAATATATAATTTCTATTATAGATGCAATTTATTATCCTAAACGACTTATTTAAGGCATAACAATAAATATTGATTAATTTGTAAAACTTTAATGTTTATATGGATGCGATCACAATTGTTTTATGAAAATTAATTAACCAATTCTGATTAATTAAAAAGTATACCAAGAACGGAATACAACGAAGTGTATGGTTTACAGTGAGTGAAATATCTCTACGCAAATACTATAGAGTTATTGGATGCGAAGCAGCCAATAACGGAAATTATTTGTAAAATAATTTCATTATCTGGCTATTATCTGGCTGAGTAGCATTCAATAACGGTATTATCCGGTATTTTACTACGACAGAACCAACAGAATAGCTCGAGTTCTTTTGATGATGATTGCGTCATCATCAAATAACGGAGTTATTTGATAATGATGCGATCATAATCAAAATAACTCGAGTTATTCTGTTGGTACGATCATAGTAAGGTGCCGGATAAGTGCATCTTATTGTATGGGTATATGAATAACCCGTGGCCGAAGGTCTTACAATAACAAGTATTTATTTGTTAGTATGTTTCAAATGTTTTTTTTTTATTTCCACAAGAATAAATACATATTTAACCAAATAGATCATACATTTTTATATATAACATACCAATTTATTGTTATACAACTTTAAATTTTGTAGTGTTTAAAACCTGTAATGTGATTAATTTATACTTTGATTTTGACTATTTTTTTTTATATAAAATTTTATTAGATGATAAAAAAAATTTTTTATTAACTGAAATACCGGCATCTTAATTGTGTTTTATTTAATATAGATCGCATAGCCCTGAGAAATTGGGAAAAAGTGATTATCCGAATCGAGTTTAAACAGGAACTGATTATAATTATCATTATGAGTAATGTCTATGTTCGCTATCCCGCTATCGGTTCCGATCAATTCATCGACAGTCACTTCACCGAATGCGCATTTAGCCGACATCACATAGGGTTAGGGTTAAGCATTTGATAAGTGATGTCGGCTAAATGAACTGTCGGTGAAGTGATTGTCGGTGAAATAATACGGACCCGCTAGCTATTATATTTAGCTGGTATATTAAAATATATACCGTATCCTATCGTAAATAAGCACCACACCTTCTACCCCACTTTTTTTAAATATCAGATTAGTGGGAATTATTTGGCTAAAAACTTCATTGCGATTTCCGCTAATCTGACATTTAAAAAATGGGGTAGAGGGTGTGGTGCTCATTCACGATAGGATACGCTACAAACAAAATAGATAATTATGTACAAGTTATAGTGATCACCTGATTCATGTTAAAAATATCAAAGTTCGTTGAAAGGATATTGTCACGGGCTAAAAGTGACATTTCAGGAAATAAGCGCCATCAATCCAGTGAGTAAAGAATTATCAATCCCGTGAGTAAAGAATTATCAATCCCGTGAGTAAAAAATTATCAATCCCGTGAATAAAAATTATCAATCCCGTGAGTAAAGAATTATTAATCCCGTGAGTAAAGAATTATCAATCCCGTGAGTGAAGAATTAAAACGCCACAAATGTTATCTTCGGTTATGACACATGAGGCTTGTCGACCTAGTAAACAGACGCGAAGCTAAACAAAAGATACGCGTGACAGTTTATTAAAATTCTAGGCGAGACCTCAGGGTAAAAGCATTAAAAAGAATAGTCACGGTCCCTTTTAATCATACTTCCAAGAAGTTATTTAGATCGTAACACTCTTATACACGAGCAAGGAGAAAGGAGTACATAAGGATCACTGTAAAAAATATAAATAAACGTCTCAAATCACCCTAATCACGCATCCGGAAAGTTGCCTTACTCCATTTTTTTCCTTGTGCTTATTCATACGTATTATCATTGTACACTTATATTTCATCCCCATGACAATATCGTTTAAGTGGTGTTCAATATAAGAATGTTCGGCAACATCGCGCAGTTACTTTATTATACATATTGTAGTCTAAATAAGAGTGAACAATATCGTTGTGTTGTAACTAAAAATAAGATTTAATCAAATATATACTTCCCAGCGTCCCGCGATGCTACGGGTAAAAAAAAAAAAAAAAAAAAAAAATATTATGTTATTACGGTGAAAAGGGTCATTTCGCTTTGTTTATCAGAAAAGAAATAGATTACAGACAAAAGCCACAACCCACATATCCTAATTTAGTACGCCAACAAAGTGTCAATTATTGTCACGGGATAAAAGTGACGTTTTCGAAACTATAATAATTGTACCTCAAGGCTTGGATGATATCAGGTTTACCAGCTGAAGATCTTGATGTATAATTATCCGATAGAGTCACAGTATGTGAAAAGCTTAGATTAGTCCATGGACACTTAAGCCTCTCTATTATTTTGCTAAAATTGTTTAACGTTAAAGAACGTAAGGTTAGTTATAACACGTGCACGAAGTAAGGGCACGTAAGAATACTTAGAATTAGTCTTTTTATTATATTCTGGATTTCATAAACCTAAAGGTATAATTTGTTAGGTATAATTTGCTACACGTAGTTGTAAGTTACGCACTAGCGAACAGAGTTTCTATAACATTAAATCAACAGTTTGGCCTGTACATTATGCTGATGCTGAAAAATATTATGAGGATGAAGAAAATAAAAAAACGAAACAAAAATTATTGTCATTTCTTTGAAAAAAATATATATATTTTGAATTCTTATCCGACGTTTAAATAGTTTTTGCAGAAATCAGTGCATGATATTGAAACTGATATTTGCTCTCCCGATTTTGTTTAAAATTATCGATGTCGGTGGGAATTACACCATAATATATCAAGCATGATTTGGGTGTTGATTGTGGTGCTCATTTTCACCGACAATCACTTCACCGACAGCCCACTTCACCGACAGCCCATTTCACCGACAGTTATTTCACCGACAATCATTTCACCGATAAAGTAATTCTGGTCATTTTCGTTAGGGTCAGATTAGAATTACAGAATTAGAGTTAAAGGTTAGTGCAATTTTTTAAAAAAAACTTATCGGTAAAATGACTGTCGGTGAAATGAATTGTCGATGAATTGATTTTCGATGAAATGACACGGATCCTTAATTTTTTTTTACAACACTACAGCACTAATCGCATTGTCGATAGAGAGTGTACGTATATCGAAAAATGTGGCTAATCCTAAGAATATGAAAACAAACGACCACTTTACAGAAATTTAAATCGACCATTCCATCATATGATTTTAATGGTCGTTAATTTGTGCGTTGTTTTAAACTGACTCAAAATTGTTTGGTTGAAGGGCTGGCCGTGATTTGTGTACATTCTACGTATGATATTATAATAAGTTGCAGGTGGCTGGTGTATTAATTTCAAAATCTAAAATCCTGAGTTAGCTATAGAATATATTGTTAGAGATCGGAATTTTAAAAATTAAAAAGATGAGATTCGATTTTATTTTGTCAATTAACTGCAATTACATATGAAATCGATAACAAATATAGCTTCAGTGATTTAAATATACATATTTCTAATCATGATGCAATATTACATATCAGATATATATAATTTTTATTTATTATGCCATAGTTATTATATATATATATAGATCACAGGCTTTAAATTCTAAGATATTGTTATCTACAAAAAAAAAAAAAAATATTAAATATTAAATACAGTAACCGTATCGGTATGTAATCAATTTAGCCCATCTCTATCGCTATTTAAAATCAAAATTTAAAGATCAGATGAAAGTTGTATCTGATTAAATTTTAATTGGTGAAACCGCAATTACCGTATTTTGTGGATTAAAGTACCCGTGTAATACCGATACAATACACAAAAAATTAAATATCACAATTAACAAACTTCACATCCGTATACATCATTCAAGAAGGAGATTTATACTATTTGGCACGAAGGGTGCTTTAATCCACAAACTACGCTATATGGATGGTCCTGTAGCGATCCATGGACTGCAGTCCCGTCCAGTCTCTAGTAGCGATGTAAACTTAATTAAAATAATTTGATTATTATTAAGCAAAAATCAAAATCGATTAGGTATACATATGTTGGGAAATCGGAAAATTATTTATGTTAAAATTATTGTAAAATATGAATAATTTAATCATATATTTTTTTTCAATTAACTCGTCGCAATAAATTCATTATTATTAGAAGTTTTACATTCCACTACTGATTTAATTACAAATCAAAATCATTATTTGCTTCGAACATCCTATTTATTAAATAAATATATATTTTTTTATTTTAAGCGGCATCTTTGACGGTAACTTCCTATTTATTAAATTATATAATATTGCCAATATTTTAACGATCGATAATCTAATTCTCTTGAAGAAAGCACGGATTCATCACTAATATCAGCACCAACCATTAATGCAAGTAAAAGATAGAAAACGAACGGTGTAAAAATGCAACGTTAGCACAACCAACACCGCAAGCAACAAACGATACAATCAATATAGTACTATCAAGTGACGATCGAACAACGAAATCGATAAATGAACAAACAATCCAGGCTACAAGAAATAGTCATAGTCAATTATTAAGACATCGTAAAAAACAATTTATCTTCAATAATTTATTTAAAATGTAAACAATATATTATTCAAAATATTATTATACTTTTCAATAAATAGCATTTCACAATTTTAAAAATAGCCAACCTAAGAATATCCTTGCCCAATTTTAAATTCACCAGATTTAATAGTACTTTCGTTCACCAAATAACGATTTCAAATATATCCGACCTAATAATGTTTTTTTTGCTGAGAAATAACAATTTAAAAATATCGACCTAATAATATCTTCGCTCAGCAAATAACAATTTTAAACACATCCGGCCTAATCATTGTCAAAAATATCAGTTTTAAATATATTCGATCTAATAAATGTCTGCCGAGAAATAAAAGATATCTGAACTAATAATTTTTTTTGTCGAGAAATAATTTTAATTTCTTTGCCAACAAATAGCAATTCTAAACATACCAAACTTTAGGCTTCCGCAAAAAAAAGCCCGTGCGATTTTTGGGGGCAATAAATTAGATTCCATAATTGGTACGTACGTACCTGAGTCAAAATCGGTATGTGCAATTAGCATGATTAACCCACTTTCAGCAAAAGGGCACCATTCGTACCTCACACATGCAAGTTGCCAGTAACAGGCCTTAAAAGTCAGACGAGTACACGGGCCTAGGGCTAGGGGCTACCCGTCTGATTTTAAGAGCCTGCTACTGGCAACTAGCACGTGTGACGTAGCTGAGTTTATTATGCTAATTATACATCCTGATTTCGGCTCAGGCATTTAAAAATTTGTACGGAAATCGAAAATCAGCTGATTTCCTTATAGACCCGTGCAAATAGGCTTTCAAAAAAAAAGCACAGGTAGTCACATAAGACCCGTAAGTTAAGCTAATTATAAATTTAAAATATCTTAGTTTGTTCGATAACTTCTGGCGAATAATTTCTTGCTTGTTTGGAAAAGAAAATTTTTATATGTTTGATGGTAAAAGTTCTTGAATATTTGAAGGCAAATTTTTTTGATTTGATAGTGGAAATTCTTGAGTATTTGACGGTGAAAGTTATTTGAACAAAGTAAAAATTCACCAATAAAATCAAATCCAAAGGAATTTATTAGTTAATTTAATTATCGTTATCACTATTGTTATGAGCATTATTAAATTATGTAATTTTCGCATAATTCTAAATTTAATTATAGTATGTTTCAAACAATATTTTCGCTAATGAATAGAGCCCGTTTCTTAACATTTAAAAATTATATAATTTCTTTTGACATGTAAACGAATATTTTTTAATCAGTATTGCATTTTTTTTTCTCTGGCATCTTTCCATGCAAAATTATAATTACTCTTGTCAATTTTTAAAGGTAATTCAACTTTATCTACGAATACATTTAATGAGTTTTTTGCGATTCTAACGCATAGTAATAACAGGTATAAGATAGACATATTGCTGTAAACCTCAGAAAATAAGCACCACACCCTCTGCCCTACTTTTGCAACCTCAGATTAGCGGAAATAATTTTAGTAAAGATTTTATTGCTATTTCCACTAATCTGAGATTGAAAAAAATAGGGTAGAGGGTATAGTGCTTATTTTCTGAGTTTTGCGGTAGTTTAGAACTGAATAAACACTACAATATTGATAAATATTGTACTTAATCTAGTCGAACTGTATCGATATATTATAAAAATTTATACTGCGATAACGTTCAAAGAGCTTCCACTATAATCATAACGCAAGTTATTTTGGCCTTTAATTTGAACCTAATATATAAATTCTCCTAAAATAAACCAAAAACTATTATTTTTCTTCTGATAAATACTGTATACACAATCCCTTAATATACAAATAATTATGAATTTCTTTCTTACGTACGTACGTACGTACGTACTAGGGTTCTGCAAATGGCAGGCATAGTATTAAACGTGGTGTCCAAGCCCGCGCCCGCGTCGGCACTTGCAGAACTCTGGTACGTACGTACGTACATACGTACGTACTGTACTATCACAATTTCCATATATCTACCTTCATTTAAGCATAAAGCAGTACGGTTTACAAAAAAAAGTTTCATTAGAAAAAAGATTTTTTATTAAACTTTAAAAAAAAAAAAAAAATTATTTACAAAACTTAAAAAAAAATATTTAAATTTGTCAAACTTTTAAAAAAAAATTTTTTTTAAGAAAGATTAAATTCTATACGTTTTGTTAGCAGTACATGCTATTAAAAATTAGCATACCAGATACTGATACTTTCGACGTACGTACAGTACATACTTAAGTCCAAATATGCACTATCAGACAATACTACCTTACTTAATACTCTCTTAATTTACATTATTTTCTCATGTACTGTACGTACGTACATATAATATTGCTTTATTATATGCTCAGGAATCGCTGTGCAGCAGTGATACAGATTCGTATGGTATAGTACGAAATATGCTAAATTTTAATAGTGCGTACGGTTTTTTTTTTATGGTTGGGTTAAGTACGGTGCAGGAAATCTAAAAACCTCAATCACTTTATACGTATAAACAAAAAACGTCCTATTAAGTACGTACATATTATTCCTGGCATATTATTTCTATACTCGTCTATTGAGATTAATAATTTAAGAAATTATTTCTATGCCCATCACTCTATTGAGATCGAAATTTATTCTCCATGAGCTACTAGTTTATGCATCATCTTAAAATGGAGATTGAGGTTTTTAAATTTCTTGCACCGTACTTAATATCGTCCTTTTTTTCGTGTTGGGGTAAAGATAAGCTATAGGAAAATAACATTTGAAATTTTTTTTTCTTTGCAAACCATACGTACAGTACGTAAAAACAATTTCCACACGTACATTCTAATTTACTTTTTGCATGTTTTAGGAGTTGTACAAAAACGTTAAACGTAATTTGACTCTAAAACTTTGTCTCAATATATAGGTAACCATTCTCCAAGTCCGAAATTACCAATGGTAATCATACATGAATTTTATTTAATTTAATTATACAAAGACCAGTAACCAGGAATAACGTAAATGAAGCCAAAATAAGAAACATGTGATCTATACTAGATGAGATACTCGTGTAACACCGTCAATTGATAAGATGTTACCGAAAAACCTTATTTTTTGATGACATATATATATGTTACATAACATATCATCGGCAAGAGAAGATCATCAATAAAAGGAAAATTCAATAAATGAATGTCACTTATTTTTCTTCTTAGAACACTACGTAAATACAAAGACTTTAAGATTTATAAGAAATAGGTACACAAAATCTCTTTCAAACGTATATAAAATAAGCAATTTGAATAGAATATTGCGACGAAAATAAGGCGTATGAAAGAGTTCTTTTGTTTCATATCTTCTTATTCATATCTCCTTTTTAGTACAAATTTGATGGGCAATCTGCTCCTTTGTCGTGCGTTTATGTGTAGCAACTACATTAAGCAAGAACCTTCATCAGGAAGCCAAAGAAGTAGAGATTCTAGGATTATGTTCTTTATCCTTTCATGAGTATAAAAAGAGGGTAAAATTTACGACCAACCAAGGGAATTTTATCTTGTTAATTGTAGATTTTTTTTAAAAAAAAAAAAGCAAAAAAATTTCTTTTAATAGACGCGTAACTTTATCGAAATTTGTACCAAAAACAAATACTTGTTCGACAGTTTTAGAAAAATATATGGTATTTAGTCCAACAAATTAAATTTACGCGTATATTTTATTTTACTATTTAATGCTGCGGACAGGTTACCTTCTCCTTTCTTCTCTTTCCATAAGTGATTACTTCTTTGTTCTACTTCCTAAAAATGCTTCTATTCTTTTTTCCTTTAATAGTCTGAAAATGCATTCATTCTTTGTTCCCTTAATGGAATGTAATGAATGAATCTAAAACTTTTGAAGACAGCTTGAACCAATTAAAGCTTTGGCGTTTGAGCAATGCCCGTTTAGCATTTATTAAAATAAATAAAAAAGGATTTATTGGTTTCATTGTAAAATCCAACTGTATAAAAAATGTTGTGATCCTTTATTGTATTTCTTTCTTGTTTTTTTCGAGCATTTCATTTACAGGACCTTGTGTGCTCTATTCTCTATTCAACTTTTATCTTTCTTTGACCTCTTCAACAATTATGTCAACAATGACACAATCAAAGTCTTTATTCGATTTCCCTAACAATGTTGAATTTAATTCAAAGACTTTATTCGATATCCCTAATGATGTTGAATTTAATACAAAGACTTTATTCGATATCATTAACGGTATTAACAAACCATTCAAGATTCAAATGTTTAAAAATGATAATAGTCAATACATCATTTCATTTGTTATCGAGGATAAAATCTATAGTTGTACTCTGCCCGATGCAAAAGAAGTCAAACTAAACGAAAAATGTCGGGATATCAATTCCTATCCTCTTTTTAGGATGCTGATTCAAAGCATTTTTCAGTTAATCGCAGACCATTTGGGAAAGAAACGATTCAAAAATCAATATGTTTCCAAGATTACTGGAAAGATGTGGCATTCTTCCAAAGCATTTCAAAGGGAATTCCAAAACTTTACAAATGAAGTAAACCTTCTTCGCCCTAAGCCTCAATTTGGGTTTAGACCTTCTCGTTATGACCCGCACCCAATTCGAGATCGTTCCAATAGAAATGATAAAAAAAGCAAGATTTCTATTGTCCCTTCCTTTATTAGCGTTCGACATGTACAACAAGATGCAGGTTCGTCTTCCGAACTTGCCGAGTTTTACAACAATGGTTCTTCCGAACTTGACGTGTTTAATAGCAATGGTTCGTCTTCCGAACTTGGCGGGATTTACAACAATGGTTCTTATTCCGAATTTGGCGTTTATAACAATGTTTCTTCCGTACTTGGCGAATTTTATAACAATGGTTCTGAGTGGCCAAACCACACTTCTAACAAGAATAACACGGTTGATTGCCATAAACAGGATGACAGTTTAAGCCCACCAACTAATGAAAGCCTTGCTCTCTCCAATAATTATCCATTCGATCCGTTAGCTCTTGGATTTGAAGGGGATGATTTTAATTATATTTTAGATTTCCTTGAGGCAAATCAGAGTGCTAATGTTCCATTTGGTTCAATGCAATATGTTAATTCCTCAAATTTCAATAATAATTATGGCCCAGTTCCTCAATATAATGTACCACATTCAAACTTCCCAGCAAGTTTAGACATAGATGACTTTGGACAAAACGGACAAAACGGACAACTTGGACATAATTGACATAATTTTAACAATTTATGATTAGAAAAAAGAACAATCCGCGTAAAAAATATTAATTAATTAAAAAAAAAAAAAAAAAAAATCATTAGGAAAAAAAACACGAAATCTATTTTCATTATGTACATCAAAATGTACATTACTTTTTTTGGGTAAAAAAAACAAGTTACAATTTTGTACTATAATTACTTAGAATGTACATTATTATGATTCTTTTACATACGTAGAAGAAATCCATTGTATGTTTTATTTGTTCATTTGTTCTGTATAAAAAAATATATACTGTGTGTATTATCCAAAAAAGTACACATCTTAACAATTGTTACCGTTACGTATTTAATTTCATATACCGATACGTATCGGTATGTAAATGATTGTATCACGTCATATGACTCTAGATTTCATTTTATTATTATTATAATTATTATTATTATATATTATTATATATTATATATATAGATGTTATAATGCAACACGTCGCTAGTTATGATGTAATTATTACGCACATTTTTTTTAATATCATTACAATATCATTATGTAACCGTATAGACATATATAGGCTAAAGCAAAAGTAGGCTAAAACAAAAGTATATATAAATTTAAAAATTTCACACACGAAATCAATTTTGAATTTTTGATCATCATTTGAACTATTTTTTACGTGTAAAATGAGGCAAGAACAACAACCAAGTAAAAAAGAAATTGTATCAACTGGTCGTTTTGTGGTTCTTACACCTGGTACGATAAAAGTATTAGATATTTACATTTGTTATGATTTTATCTTGAAAATCATTTGAACTTTATAATAACTTTGTCTACTGTCGCTGTATTCTTGTATTCAGGTCCGGTAACAAAACTTCCAGTAAATCATGAACCACCAAGTCAAAATAGTCATACCCCATATTGGAATGATTATGAGGGATTTCATGATAATGTTCTTAATACAAAGCTTGGTAGAAATCGATCAGTTCACGTTACGTCTCCAAAATTTAATAAAGATTTTAAAACGAATCATAATGAAGGTTTACGACGCATGGCAAATGTCGGAAATAGTGGTATTAAGGTAATTATAGATTATATGTGATTATATTTTCTTTTGTTTTATTAAATCTTCTTATAAATCAATATTAACGTGTATTATTAATTTTTTTATAATGAAATACGTGTATTTGTTTTAGTCAAATAAAACTTATGTGGTGGAAAGATATCGTGGATGATTTGTTTTTGAGAGAGATAATTTTTTGTAAATATGTGAAATAGTTGATAATCATATATCATATTAATATATCAATTTTATGTTTCTATCAAATTTGAACGTTTTAAATGGTTTATAAAGGCGTCAAGTGTACTCTCATTTAATGTATTCTCATTTATTGTATTAAGTGCAAATACGCGTAAATTAAATAAGATTGTAATAAAATTATAAGATTTGAACTGTTTTTAAAATATATTAAAAATCTAGTAATGTAATGTTGTAAGTTTAAGACTAGAATCAGAGTCTTTGACGAAGGTATATAGTATTGTGATATTATAAGTTTAAGACTAGAATCAGAGTCTTTGACGAAGGTATATAGTATTGTGATATTGTAAGTTTAAGACTAGAATCAGAGTCTTTGACGAAGGTATATAGTATTGTAATATTGTAAGTTTAAGACTAGAATCATCAGATTCCTGTTTTGCTTCATGAGCACTTTGGTTGGGGAAGGCACTAGTTCACTTCTTTTCAACAGAACCAAAAGGGAAAGTTCCCATTCACGAAGATTCTCTCCCTCTCTCTCTCTCTCTCTCTCTCTCTCTCTCTAAGCTTCAAAACTCGGAGCGTATTTAGAGCTTTGTGAAATTTAATCAGTTTTTAATTACGAAAGCAACCATTTTTTCTTTAATTTGCACTCTACGAGGGCCAACCAATTGATAATTTGAGTAGCGATTTTGTTGAGCCTTTGCGACCGCTGATTGACCGGCCGGCCATTCTTATAGGCGATGATCGCTTCAAGATATGCGTCGGCGCTTTGAGTCTTTGACGAAGGTATATAGTATTGTAATATTGTAAGTTTAAGACTAGAATCAAAGTCTTTGACGAAGGTAGTATTGTAATACTGTAAGTTTAAGACTAGAATCAGAGTCTTTGACGAAGGTAGTATTGTAATATTGTAAGTTTAAGACTAGAATCAGAGTTCATGACGAAGCTAGCATTGAAATACTGTAAGTTTAAGACTAGAATCAGAGCCCTTGGCGAAGTTAGCATTGAAATACTGTAAGTTTAAAACTAGAATCAGAGCCCTTGGCGAAGCTAGCATTGAAATACTGTAAGTTTAAAACTAGAATCAGAGCCCTTGACGAAGCTAGCATAAGTTTAAAACTAGAATCAGAGTCCTTGACGAAGCTAGCATTGAAATACTGTAAGTTTAAGACTAGAATCATAGTCTTTGCGGCGCTGAGCGTTTTTATTTAAAGCAATTTTTACTTAAAGCAATTGTGATGATAACACACCACGGGCACGTTTTAATATAGACCCATCCCACTTGTATTATCCCAATTTTGTATTGACATAGCATGTACACACGTACGTATGAATTATAAGTAGCATACATTCTGCTAAAGAATTGGGTGACCTTTATGTCACTAGTAAACACGGGAACGTTTATTAGATTTCCTTTAACACCTATATACATACATACATATATATATATAACTGAATATAATTGAATATAAATGATTTTATTAATCAATAATATACATACTAAATTCTTTTTTCAACTAAAATTATATATAATATTCACAAATGTCATACATAACTAGAGGTTGGAAATCAAAATTCTGAATCGAGATTAGAATTTCGATGCTGAAATTCGAATTCAACCTCTTTTGTATTTACAACCAAAATTTATGTCCTTGTTAGACCACTACAATAAATAACTAACCATCATGTGCATTAATGATTAGCTTATTCAATGATCGGTTTATTCGGTACAAATTCGAGATTCCAAATTTGATCTAAAGGAACTCTGTCTAAAGGAACTTTAAGTGACTCTGATTCTTCGATAACTATTTTTTTTAAAAAAAAAACAATTATATAAAAATTGATGCACGTATTATTATAACAATATCTTCTTAATTGGATGCTTCTTAATTGGATCATTAATTGAAACTTACGCTTTTCTTTTAATCCATTTCCAAAATTTCTTAGCACTTTAAATCCAAACACTAATAATAACTAATTGGTCAAATTATGAATGTTAAAAAAAATAAATTTGTATTTAAAATTAATTGATTAGTTCAAAAAAAAAAAGGTTTACATACTACAGAGTTCAAGATCAATAATATGACTATAAAATAAAAATTTAAAAGTTAAATATAGTAAGTAATTAATATTGTAATTGTTAAAAATATATATATATATATATATATATATTTTAACGTTCAAATATTTACCAAGAACTGATCCAGAAATCCAAAAACTTCCAATCACTTTATATGCATAAATTGAAACAGCAAACACTAATATGAAGTCAGAAATTGCTGCAAGCCATAAAACCAAGAATATTATCATTCCAATTTTATGTTCTTTTTCGACCTTAGTAATATTAATAATAAATAATATTAATAATAATATTCAAATCAAAGCATTAAATATAAATATATATGTATATGTAAACATATTAAGCGTATACAGTATACTAATTTACCAATTTGTAGCCAACTATTTCCAATATAAGTACTAAGGCAGTAGCAAAATAATGAAATATTAATAGTGGAGGTGTTGTAATCTTTGTAATTATGTCTTCTATTCGAAGAATAAGAATAGATGCAAGCAAAAACAATAGGGTGGCAAATAAGTTAAGTTTTAATAACATGATGAAGATCAAATAATCCTTGTATATTGCTGTATAAATGTAAATATATATATATTAGATATGTTAGCAAGTTATAAAAATAAGAAACTAGCTATCATAAAAAATAAAGGTTTCTTGCCTTGCATTTTTAAATCACCACCATATTTCTTGTAAATATTCCACCCAAATTGATCATGCAACTTAAAAGATAAATAAGCTACGGTGATTGAGAAAAGAAAAAGAAGGACTGTACATATAACACTAGTTATCAAAAGAATTATGTGGTCGTGACTTCTATGTAAATTTTGATAACCTTGAGCTGTTGGTGGTATACAATCTACAAAGTTGTCAAGATCTTTTGATACATTCGTAATTTCATATATTTGAATCTATATAATATAAATTTTCATTTCAATTTTCATTTCAATTTTCATTTCAATTTTCATTTCAATTTTTTCTATTTTTTAATTCAAATAAATTAAATAAGATGTACTTACAAATCCATATAGAGACAATCCAAAATTAAGGATATTGATCGTTATAATTTGAACAATATGTTCGTTAAACACCTAATTACTTCATAATGTTAATATTTTTTTTTAAAAAAAAAAAAAAAAGAATATGTGATACACGTAATAATGTGATAATGTGATATTTACCGCATTAAAACAAAAATACAATTGGAAAACTTGAAAAAATATACATATAAGATTGTCTAAATTGATGAATGGAAATTTTGAGATCGCTTTAGGTGAAAGTTTACACTCGGAGGAATGATTTGAGTTGCTAAATGTCGAGTTATTTTCAGCCCAATCAGAATATAACTTTTGATTTTGTGAAAATATGAAAGCTTGGAGAATAGCGATCGCAATACATTGTATTATTGTGGTGATAACAAAAAGTCTTGTGTATTTCGTGGATGTTATCTTATCCCACTATTTAAAATTTTATTAAAAATTTTTAGTTAGTTATTAATTACTTTATAAAATAAATTAATCAATATTAAATAAGAAATTTGATAGTTCCACACCCCGTCGGACTCGAATATATGATTAAAGCAATTGCTATAGCAATTTCGTGAGGAATGGGACGTAAATAATGGTTCCATGTTATATCGATATTATATTAATATTTTTTTTGAAATACGAACTATGCTAAAGAACAAGTGGTATGATCCGATGGGATGTGAAAATATCAATACCCTTAATTAAAATATTAATTAAAAATATTAATTGATGCATTCTTCATCAACTCACATTCTCTTTTAAAGTATCTTTGGTCTTTTTTTTAAAACGTCTAAACTTCCTATTCAAATCATTAAATTTAAAATAGTTCAGGTCGTTCGTCAATTTAAAATACTTAAATGCCATTATAATTTATAAGTTGAATTTTGTCGAGTTGTTAAATATACGACTAGAACAGAAATTCAAGTCGAATATTGTAACAAATGTGTATAAGGTAAACAATATTATACAATATATAACTGTTAAAGTAACCTTGTACAGAAATAAACACCTAAAATGGTAAATATTAACGGATTTGCATGTTTCAAATGATTAACGTAACTTCCTTGATCTTTTACATCTTAAACCTGTTTCAATCCTAAAACCTGTGCCAACAATTGATTTTTGTACGTAGATCAAAAATGATATCAAAAGTTAAATGAAACTGTGTCCATTTCTTTTTGTTTTTTAACTATAAAAACATAAAAAAAACCATAACGTAACGATAACCCACGATAATCTAGTTTATCCTATAAATGGTTATTAAATAAAAAACTTTAAATTTTTTTATTCATTGTCATTATGCACTTCTTTAGGATAAAAGTCGATTCGAAAATTAAGACTGTTGACTCCCAGTCAAAAAGAAAACCGGTCTAATCGATGAATCACAAAATTCCATATATATACAGCCATTTAGGATCTGGTTCATTCGGAATTATTTTAGCCGGAACTTTATATGTACAAAAATACAACTTTGTCAAACTTTTATACAGCGTCGTACAGTATCAGAATTAGATAATGATAATCTGAATGGATGTCAAAAAGACCCCCCAAGGTTTCAAATCGTCTCATTTACCGCATCTAGAAGGTATAAAAATAGTTACTTTTATAATTAGTAATCTTGAGCTTATTTTGTTGGAACGAAACTCAAGTTGCATTTAAGCTTGACTGTATATCGATATGATTTCAAATTATTATTGACCTCAAAGAGGAATAAAGTTTTTTTGCCAAGTAAAAATTGTGTATCAAGATTGCTAATTTCTACGTACGTACGTATTTGAATTATCTTTTAACATCTGCATTAATACATATAATGTAAATAACTCAAATTATATTATCCAAAGTTGGAAGTTGATAAATTTATTATGCGAACCTTTCAAATTCTGATTCCAACCAAATTTATTATTTATGTCAGAATTAAATACGTAGAATTACATAGAAATTACGTACGTACGTAAATTTAAATATAAAATTTTAATTCGGGATTGCAATACGAACACTGCATATATATATATACGTAGATCTACTGAATCTATAATACTCATTTTTTAAAAAAATTTATACATATAAAAATACGTAACGGATAATGTTTTAATGCTACCATTTTTATCAAACAATTTGTTATAATAAAATTTTCCCGGGTAAACATTACAAGTTGCGTTGCAATACATATTACATTGAAAGAATTAAAGAATAAAATAAAGTTTGTTATTATTTAATTAATTCTATACGTATACTTAAATTATTTAAATATGTAATTAAATTTATTGCTTGTTCTACAAACATTCGATCAAGTCCAGTGATCTAAGATCTCATTTGATCAATATCATCTGCTACAACCTACGAATAGTTTTAAAATTTTAATGCCAAGAATGAAAACCTTAGGGTTCGTTAAAATTTTTAAATATTCATTACTTTTTATAAATTTCTTGATGTTCAAACTTGTTAATGTACAGATCAATTATGATTAATTTAATCTTTTTTTTTCTCTCTCTTAAATCGTATTTACATAAAAAAGTTCAATGGTTTCAATCATCTTTCCCACTTTTTCTATTTTATTAATTTGTTCAATTGAAATTATTCTTGCCAAAGTTTTACCATTTTCTGAAACTTTTGGAGGAAAAAACTTTTCCAACATATTAAGTGGATTAGATTCAGGAGTATGCGATTTAAATAAAACTTATACTCGAAGAAATATTCCAACCAATAATTCTCTTGGATGTTTTATTTTAGATGAAAGTCATTTTACAAATCCTTTTTATGATGTAGATAGAAATTTAATGGATCCGGGTTTATGTTTAATTCATTGTAAAGATTATAATTATACAATTTCTGCACTTGGAAATTCAAATGAATGTAGATGTGGGTTTCAAGATGGTTTAAAACAACAATTAGATAATGAAGCTTGTTATCTTGATTGTATTGGTAATTCAAGTTACAAATGTGGTGGAAAATATGCTTATACTGTTTATAATACTATCATTGGACTTTCAAGTTATCATATGTCTAATATAAGTTCCGATAAAAAACGTGAAATTATAAATAATCTCAAAAATGATATTAGATATAATGGATGTTTTCAAGACAGTCCTTATTGTGGTCAAAGATTATTGAATGGTACATTAGATGAGAAGGTTCATATGACAATTGATTATTGTGTAGATTTTTGTAAGAAAAATGGTTACGCATTTGCTGGACTAGAGGTTGGTTCTCAATGTTTCTGCGGAAATGAATATGAACGTATAAGAAGATTGGGTGATGATTATTGTAGTAGTAGTTGTATATTTAATAGTTATCAAATCTGTGGTGGTCCTTTAACTCTTAGCATTTACAATACTGAAATTACTTCTGGTACTGGTAATAACATTGGATTAATCTTGGGTTTGGTTATTCTAATTATTCTTATTGGTATTGTGATATTGATGATTTATAGAGCATATAGCAAAAGAGACCCAACACATATGCAAGTCTGAATGTATCTCTCAAAGTGAGTGGAATAGTCTTGTCAAACAAATTCTTTTCCGAGTCACATCAATGACCGAACTAGAGTTGTTGGTGAAACTAAATTGTGCTGGTGAATATCTAAAATCTGATTGTCCATTGCATTCAATAGCCAATCATATTTTAGATGGTCACCAGTTTCACCAGCACTATTTAGTTTCACCAGCAGCTCTAGACCGAACCAGTCGTGTAATATTACGAAAAGTGGGTGTCGATTTGAATTTTGAACAACATGAAGAAGATCCCACCTCGACTAAAAAAAAACACTCGGTATATCCAAAGAAGTTATGATCTTGGAGAAATATTAATATACCTCGTTTCAAGTGATATGAGTAGAGAATCTAAAAAAAGAATGACACCATCTTAAAAATCTATTAAGTCATGAGTGTTAATTTAATTGATTGAATTAGATGTCACATTAATAATATTGCATCTTCTAATTGGTTAAATTAACCAGCATGAAATAATTTTTTGCAATTCTTGTAAAAATTTCAGCATTAAGTATATATTATTGTATTAAATTGTAGCAAAAGTGGATAATTTACTTTATTATTTATATTTAAAAGAAAATTATCATTCATCACTGCCCTTTATTAAATCAAAATCTTTTGTAAGATGATGGTTATTTAGGGTAGTAGTTAAAACCAATATTTTATAAGAAAATTTTTTTGATAAAAGCGTTCTTAATCCATCTGATCCATTTTTCTTGACCCAAAAATACAAAAAAGAACAAATCGTTTTTGATCTATATAAAATTTATTTTGGATGCTTATACTGAGCTGTAGATCCTACGAAGTTTAATTAGAGGTGTAGTATTTAATTTAAAATTTATTTTGAAGTTTGTAATAACTAAGTTCTAAAGAACAAAAAACATATTTATATAGGTCAAAAAACTTGGTTTATTTAAAATTTTGTCTTAGTAATTGCATATATGTATAGATAAATAAATAAATAAATAATAGTTTTCAGTTAACAAAAATAAACAATCTGTATATTTAATAAAGCAAAATGAAGGTTTAAGTTTAAGTTTCTGTATTGGATAGTTAATTAATATCTTTGATCGCATGGGTCGAAATCGATGTGCATTATTTTTTTCAGGGTGGATCAAGAAAATGTTTTTGTCGAAATAGAACCGATCGTAACTCATGAACTAGTTTATTTGGACTCAATTCTTAAGGGTTTAAGATATCGTGAAATTGTTGTTCCTCCCTTCATTTATTAGCATGAAAAGGCGCTCTTTGTATACATTTTTAAGAATCACAAAAACCCAGGGTTTATAATGAACAAAGTTTGGAATCTTGAAACTATAGTTTCATCCGCTAAGCTTTTTAAACTTCGAGTTCAGCGATCAGGGCTTCGCCGTATTCTAAGCCTTTTGATAATTAAAGTTGCTACCAAATTAGGAACGATTAACGATATCTACGTAATCCAAGCCTCAAATTACTTAGAAAAAATGGTAGCCAGACAAATTTGCCAGTTACGTGCGATCTCGGATCTTGATTATCAGGCAATCTCAATTACAAATTATTCGTTAAACACTTTCTTTTCTGCGTTAATATTGCCGTTGTCATTACGATAACAGGTTTTTTATTTGGAAAGGACTAAACAGTGCATCGCACACTTAGTGCACCCTCTTCTATATCTCAAAAATTTACTATGGTAACTCCTTCCGTGTAACTAATAAAAAATGCTCCTCGCAATTTTACTTAACCCAAACCTAACCCTAATGCTAAATACAGTCAGACCTCTCTAAGTGCATGCGACCACACTTTAACAATGTATACTTAGAGAATAATAAGAAAAGGTGCATTTATAGAGTTCAAGTGTATATTTGGGCCAGAATTTGAGTATGCATTTAGAGAGGGTGTGCGCTTATATAGAGGTTGCGTTTAGAGATTTGACTATATTACAGGTGACCCTCGTTAATGTCAACTTAAATCATAAGACAAATTTTTATAAATTTTTATATCAATTTTAATATGAACCCTCATTAATATCACTATTAACATGAATTTAAAACCAATTCAAGTGGGCTGACATTAACGAGGGTCACCTGTATTTTGCTCTAATATTGTTCTTATTTGTAATATTTGCAATTAGGGATGCACTAAGTGCATGGGTGTACTATTTGAGTTCGCCAGGGCGACCACCAAAAGTCCGGTCACATGATAAGACGCCACAGCCAAAGCATAATTTCTTAGAAAATTGTTGAATCATTTAGCTCCTGCATACAGCTTTAATGCCGTGAAAATTTCTTAAATTATTAAGATATGGCTGTGGCGATAATGCAGATAATGTGACCGTACTTTTGGTGGTCGCCCTGGCGAACTCGTACTATTTAGCTTTGTCCAAAAAGATTTTTTTTTTTTATCATAAAATATGCATACACTATCAACACTTTATATAAAGAATGGAGGCGAAAAAAAGTTCGCTATCAAAATTACTATATTTTCTTAAGAAGCCATAACACCGGGAAGATTGAACCCAGTGATATTTTCGTGGCCATATTTTCGTGGTCATATTTTCGTGGTCATCAAATCACATGATTAATAATTCGGCCTAAATTAGGGTTAGTGTTAGGGTTAGCGACCCGAAAAAATTGTTTTTTTGAAATGGCAAAAAATGTTTTGAATGACAGCAAAAATTGGTTTTTATTGTGGTATAAAATTAATCACAAAGTTGATTGAAATACGTTATATTTAACATTTGCTACACTTACTGATGATGTTTGTATTGTTGATTGCTTTGACTTTATTTTATGCTGTTCTTTTTGCAGCTTTGTACGATAATATGCCTCTTACTATTAATATAAGTGGTGATCGTTGACTTTTACTTCATAGTTAAAGGTATGTCACAAAACTGACACATTAAGATTCCATTATCAGAAAAAAAAAAATGCTTATAAAATTTATTCGCACAAGTACGTGCAGAAACTTGATGGGACGGCATCTGAACTAAACACAAAAAAAAAAACATGGCTACTAAAACGTTATTAGCTTATAAATAATCTTTAAAAACTAAACCTTTAAGTACCTTGTTAACGTTTGCTAATTCATTATGGGAATATAAAGATCGATATCTCAAAATAACTGAATATGCTTGAGATACTTCTTTTGAGATTCGTTATCTCTAGTTCTGAACAGTACTATGGTTTAATTGGTTAATTGTCATGTGCATCATCAAAAGAGGTAAGAATTGTTTTATAGTGTGATATCCAATAAAATTGCGATTAATTGTGATCTAATCTTTTCGAAATTTTTTCGGGTCCCTGGTTAGGGTTAAGTGACAGTATAGTTTAGGCCTCATAGAAGGACTTTCGTATGATCGGCGGTGCCGCTCATTTCACCGAGTAGACACAGCATTTCACCGACAATCAATTCAACGACATGTTCATTTCACCGACACTTAATTCACCGACAAACAATTCACCGACACTCAATTCACTGACAATTATATAATTCATTCACCGACAATCAATTTACCGCAATTAATTCACCGACAATTAATTCACCAACAAAGTATGTTTAAGGTTAGTGAATTAAGCTTGTCGGAATCGTATTTTGAGAGACTAAACCGGATATTATAAATAAAACTGGATCCAATATCTATTTATACCTACCCTATAAAAAAATTTTTGTCCAAATTTTGTCGGCAATGTTCTAAAGTGATTTTGTTTTTGTTCAAAAAAATGTTCGGAATGGAGTCGATTTTCCGAAGATACTGTATACTGTACTGATTTTGTACAATGTTTATACCTATTTTTTTTTTTTTTTTTTTTTACATCACAGTATAAAAATTGTACAATATCGTACTGGCATTCGGAAAATCGACACCATCCCGAACATTTTTTCGGACAATGCCTACAATAAGTGAACGAACTTTTTCATAAGGCCATGATTATATTATAGAGTTGAATTGTCAAATTAGTAGGTATAGTTTAGATGGAAATAATAGATAAGTATTGTCAGTATTGCAAAAATCCTAAAGCTCAATATTAATTAAAATTTTTTTAGTTTCAATGATTTAATGTGATCATTATAGACAATGAACTTGTTTAATATCCTAAAGATAATTATAAAAACTACAACGACAAAAAGAACTAGCTATATTAAATTCTCTTCATTAAATTCTCTTTTTTCGTATACATCCAACTTTGGCGAAAGACTCAATGCATAACTTTTAAGATCAGATAAACATGCAAGCACCTCTA